CCTCCTGACTGCCGATTGGTGTTCACGGATCGTTGTTGACAGCTTTCTTCCAGTTTGTCCGAAATAGTGTGTTGGGCAGTTCTTGCAGTAAATTTGGTAGAATACATTGCTCTCGTTCTTCTACATTCTTATTTCCTCTGGTTTTGACAGAAGTCCCCCTAGACAGGCGGTGAACTGCGACAGAGATGGTCTATGTGATGATATCTCACGTGGTGACCACACGTTAAAACATACTAACTAAAAGTTGTGCAATTGGTTTACTAATCAAAGAATTAAATGGTTTCACTTTGATCACTAAGAAGATATCACCATTGTGAACATGGTAATTTAAGCCTATATCCTCAAGAAAATGAGCGTCATGCAAATCCACTTTTGATAAACGATTCAACTCCCTTGAAAAACTTAAGAAAAGTATGTCACATCCGGACCTAGCAATAGTCTTTGATTTCGTTGTTCAAATTTTATTATCAAACAGCTTGTACAGTAAACAGTCTTCTAAATGAATCAGACCCTGTGTATAAATGTTTCCCATTCCGCCAAACAAATGCTCAACGCGGAAAATAAATGTTTGAATTCATCCGCATGATTTAAATTTTACCAAGTATCATAGCAATTACCCTCACGTTGAAACACATACCTTGCAATTTACGTTCAACAACGACTTCAGCACATTTCCATGAAGACGAAAATTCCGGAGAAGTTCATGTCTAACAATCGATAAATTACATAACACAACCACTGAATTTCAACAGACGTATGTGCAGTCTTCACACCTTGTCTGGTTAATTCAGTCACACTGAAGGATTCGGCCTTTTTGGGTAACCGATTTATCATGGCGCGTACGACTCAACAAGTCAGAACACGAACGCTTAACTAAGGTTAGTTGTATTCAAATCACGTGATTACCATGCAAACGCGTCAAAATGTCGCTAGTTTTATTGTCACTAGTGTAAACCAATAATCCCTTCTACCATTAAACGAATTCCTGAACCACATAAAATCAATAACTGAAATCAGAAAAGTGATTCTTAAGATCATCCTTTTGGTAACCAGATCAGATCTGGGTCATTAAAAAGTACGGCTCGACAAAAGCCGAACCCGTATCCAAACCAAATCCAAGATTTGCAAAGGTGTCATGTGAATGTGGAGAATTGTAAAGTACCAGCAGCATCGAACTTGAGTGCAGATGACAATGTGCTGCGGCGTTGATTGATCTGCGGACAATTGAGTACCAACCAAAACCCAAAACGGCTTTTTTAATGTCCTTCGGCTGCTGATCAGACTTCCCATTTTCCTATACTACAACACGTTTCGTGACCTGGACCTTGAGTTTTAGAACATAGAAAACTTAAAATGAGCATTCCATAATGCCATACGGTTTTGATGTTTGGCCATCAGCTGAAACATTAGACCATATAACAAAAAGGATGAAAACAGCCTCATGGGAGCCGTGTAGAGTAAATCAACATCGAATTCAACAACTGCCTGAAGATTATAAAGCATTGTACATCACCCGCACGTCGTTCCACAGATCACACCCATGCAAACTCAGCATTTGTTATCTTCTATGACAGGTTTCTGATTTTGATTTGAACCGATCATCCTTCAGACTTCACCTTCATGCACAATCATCAGTTCTTCCAGTAAAACATACGCTCACGGGCGCACGACTTGAGTTTTGCACTTATTACAGCTCATCAATAGTTCGTATCCATCGGGCCCATCGCAATGAAGATGTGAGTTACCACTGGGCCAACTATCTCATACCAGGACTGATTTCCAATTCTTCTTTATTCCAACATTGCTAATCGTTTTCCATTACGTAACTGTTTCTATCCTAACATTCCCCTTCTCCTCTTTTACTCATACCCAAATGACTTTGGTAATGACTCAACTACTCAGTGCCCTCTGCTTGACTCCATGTAATTGTAAAATGTCCATATATTGTATTCTTATGATAAAATTTGACCTATTTAATGTGCGTAGACAGCTGATTGAGAGCACGCGAAATTGATGGCCAATATCAATTCTGCTCATCTTGTGTTACTTGTTTTATTCAAATGGATCAAAGGGAAAGGATGTTTCCGCTATTCAGGGGTTGTCTGCGGTGATGGTCAATCAGTTAGTTTTGACCGGACAGCAACGAAGGAAGACTCAGTTGACTATTTGGTAACTCGAATCGCAGGCCTCCCACCAAATCAGATCTGCTATACACTTTACGAGCTGATTTTCCACAAACGTACTCGGCTGAGAATGGTATTGAGACTTAACTGATATGATATTGTGAACCACCTGATTTGTTCGTCTCAAAAAGCGACTGGTACATGTCGTGGCAACCGCTCAACCCGGTTATTTCTGAAAGCCTTCAACTGTTTCTTTTTCTCTCCCGGAACAAGTATCTTCTGTTCGAAAGAAAGAAGCCAACTTCCCATGTCCGCATTTCTCCAGTTTACGTATAACAATAACTGCCTTTAAATCGTAATTCAGACTGCACAGCAGAGCGGAAAGCGAATACGATGACCGTCTACTTGGATTGAATACTCATTCATCATTGTTACCAGCTGGGGGACCGACTAGATTGAAACACCCAACCTGAAGGACCAAAATTCTTGTTAGATCCGCAAACTTAGAACCCGGTGGGCAAACGCTTGTAAGCGATCAGAGATCAGTGGTCTGTCTATCAACACTCCTTCTCGTCTTCTTAAACGCTCGGTTGATCTCATTTGGTGTCAGATAGTCTCAACTTAATCCTATCGTGGGAATCTTTATCTCACTGTCTTTTCGAGATTTAGAGCAGTTTAGAAATCCATGACTTATATTTCAACCTTGTGAAATTTTCTGGATGTATGCTCGCTCTGCTCCTTTCGAGTGTCTAACTGATCCCATTATGTTTCAGTTCACCGACCAACTACAGTGAAATATCTCGGCTTAATCTTAGATGATGCCTACTGTTAGGACGGAGCTTAAGCAACCCGTCTGATCGCGCACACCTCCGAGTCAGGCCACACACGCATGCTCGCAACGCACCAGACAAGCTGAGCCCGATTGGAACGAATCAGTCAATGTTTGTCCTATCGATCAATCGATCAATCGATATGTCAAGCAATCTGATTGACGAGTGCGTCACTGCGCCGTCCTCGAATGCATGATTTGTTCTGTGTTTGCGTATCGAAATCTAATTTTTTTAACAGACACGCTGACCGTTGTCTCAACCTGTGTTCTCCCTCCACGTTATTGTTGGGGCTTAAGCAAGAGTCGCTCGTGTCATTCGTACGTCTAGTCCGAACACAACACTTACACATGGAAACTTGTGTGATTAAGTTGCGCCTTCTTTCCTTTCAGATCAACAAACCCAGGCATTCTCGTATCTCCTTCTATCGGATCGTGAGTTCTATTCCTCCTCTTATCTTATTGTCATTTCCCATATGGAGCTACTGGAAGGGTGGCTTAATAATAATATTAGCGATTTATAAAAAGCTTTTATCTCCCTTTTAACTGAGTATAGAACTGTACAGTAAACTTTCAGAAAAGAATCCCCGATCATACAAAGTCTACCAGAGTCAATAGAGAAGATGTGACCCAAAAGTGCCATCATGCGCAGTGAATGCCTTGAGGATGTTTATTGACCGATTACACCCGTCACGTGATGAGCATTCTTAAGGTTGACCTCACACTATTACTCCCTACGAATTCAGTTTACTTTCTTCACGCACGGGAACTATCTTGCTCGGTATCTAACGCGTATGCCTGCTAATAGGAACAGGTTAGCTATTGAGTTGTGTACCAGATGCTAACTGTGAACTCATGTTAGTTGCTCTCCCTGATTACCGCACTTTACCACTCTTCGTGAAATTCCTTTATGTGAGTGGTTGCGGCACTTTTTCAATAGATTCGCCTGATCACTAGTTTGCAAATATTCTGTCAATACAAAATACCAAAAAAAACAGGTAAGCTAGAGAAAACGAAGCTCATCTAACAAACGGCGCGCGTTTTTTGTTGATGCTTATCAGCTATTCCCATGCATTTGAAGTGAAAAAGATACAACCAATATTCCAAACTCAGCTTTGGTCCTTTTGAAAGTTGTAAAACTCCAGATGAGAAAGCGGGGATAGCGAAACCAAAGCCGACCAACTTACACTACTGGACCACCACCGGTCAGAATGATCGTTTGTTAATCGAATACCTCAAATGCACCCCAACCTTGACAATTGTAGATCAGCGGCCATAATCGCTAGAAGGAAACAGTGAAACGTCCAGCTTGTGGCAACGCGAATATGTCGGTGTTCACTTACACTCCTAACCTTGAAACTAGTGAAAGCGAATGCCACAAATGCTAAGCATAATGATGTGATCCTTTGATTTCAAGAACAAATGATTGTCTGATCACGGTCAGCGCACGTGACCGTTGGAAGGTCATTGCAGTGTAATCACGTGAGTGGTCAAGTTGATTCGAACACGACAGTGTAGTTGCTTCGCCCAGACACACACAAACACACGAAAAATAACATGCCGGAATATAGTTAGAAATGACCGGTCGCTAGAATAAGGCTTGGTCGGCGGGAATAGAGCATCACCACTGTGATCCATTTTTAACAATTGGAGATGTATTATCAAACACGGAAGTCAAACGTACACAGGCGAACAGTGTGGTGTGTGTGTGTTTGGTCTCTCCAGTTTGTGTGTATGTGGTTCTTTTAATGTGTGTATACTGATGTTGCGTGGCGCACAGCCAGTACCTAAACATCCACAGTAACACCGTGGTCACACATGTCAGTTTTGTTCACCCTTGACCCATGCGTCTATTTGGCACATGAAGTACATTTGTCAGGATGTTATCATGCCTCTGCGACGAATCGCTAGTGCTTTATGACCGGCCGAGTGTGGAACGAAATCAGATATATATACCTGAGTAGAAATGAGGTCCCGTATTTCACTATCTCTCTCTTGCTGTGCATCTGTGAATAGCATCCAACCGTTCCGCGCTTTTTCTATCGGAAATCATGCTTGAGCTCGACTCCGGTTCTGATACTCACATTTCGACACCAGTGTTTGTGGTTGGCTTAGTCAAAACGGGCACAGCCTGCGTGAAACTGGCTCTGGAACAGATTCGGAGTAGTGATCAATGTTTGCACTTGGATAACTTTATCACATCCACTTATGCCGATGTGGACGCATGGATTCAAGTAGTTCAGGAGTCAGACAAGATCATACGACAGGAACAGCTTCGAACCCTGTTAACGAGGTACAACATGGCTGCCGGTGTGCCGATTACCTCATTAGTCGAAGATTTGCTGGAAATGTATCCTACAGCAAAAGTAAGTGTTGTTTGAACAACCTGGGAACTTCTCCCAATGCGCTATACTGATTGTGTCTGTTCCGCGCGATTCTTGCTTTGAATAAACCATCAAAATTCACACACATACACACACCGGTTTTGCGCTTTATGCATGGGAATCCGAACAGCAATACATAACCACACACGACACACCACACAAAACATAGATGCAATTTTATATGATGAATTTGTCGTGTAAATGAGGCATAAGCTGAAAAGCTCGGAAGCACTGGATAGCTGTTTNAGGTTGAGTTCTATTAGTAGTGCGAATCCTTCGATCCAACTTGGGACCTCACAGGTTGGACACGAGCATCCAACCCACCCGACCGCCGAACAAATGAGCAGACCGTTTCTCATTTTGAATATATACGATATACCACAACTCATCTATGCGAGCTTACTGCGAATCATAACTCTGGAGGTTAGCGCTGAGATGAGCGAGCACCGATGCTTGCAACAAGCCAGCACAGATGGGCTAAGTTATATGGTATAGATTCAAAATGATAAAGGGTTTGATCAGCTGCCCGGTGGCTGAGTGAGTAGAATGCTTGTGTTGTGCCTGTGAGGTCCCGGGTTTGATCCCCAATTGGATCAAAGGATTCGCACAACTGATGAGACCCAACCAGGTCGAAACAGCTGTCTAGCGCTTTCCAGCTTTTCATTTCATTACACGACAAATTCATCATATAAACAAATCTAATCCTGCAGTGCTCTCATACAGATTTGATATATTTTGGCTTCTTTCACTTGAATGCATTATAAATGTACGATTAACCCATTTCAACAATGATTAAAGGTGTAACAGTTGTAATATAATCGAACGTCAGTATAAAAGTGCCAGCATTTATTTATGAAGATAGTGGCAAGGCATAACACCGGGTGGTGGTCAAGCAATAAATTTCACCGGAATATATTCCCGGAGGATGTATGTTCGGATCGCACCACCATTGCCTGACTTTCACCATTATTGTGTTCTACGCTAGCTAGTTGATTGACCACTTTCCCTTTCCTGAAAACTGCATCATCTTTAATGAAGTGAAGTAAATAAAAAGGCAAAATAATGATATGGATATTTTCATTTCATTTTCTCAATTTTTTGTCTACCATCCTTTATTCATTATTATTTGGACCAATCTTTCTGGCATAGAATCCACAAGATTGATAATGAGTCCACAATTGTCATTAAATGAAAAATCACCCTGGACCCTGACTACCACACTGGTGGTAGCTAACAGATCTCTCCGTCTCTCCAACACAGCGAAAACCGCTTGCAATTCCATTCAGATCCGGACTGTCGGGCAGTAGTTGATTTAATTCTATTGGAAAACATGCCAATTCAGAAACTGTCTGAATGTAGCAAAACAATACAGTAAAATTATTTGAACTTAGTATCTTTCAGACTCCGCCTTCACGCTCAATCCTCAGTTCATCCAGTCAACTATACACTCAGAATCACCTGACTCGATTTTTGCTCTTGTTAGAGCTCATCAGTAGTGCATATCCACCGTCCCATCAGGGCTTTGAAGTCCGGAGCAATGGCATGGAAGGTGTGTGCATTACCACTGTGCCAACCGGCTCATACCAGGACTGAACCGAGTGGTCAATTCATGCGTGTTCAGGTATCGTCTTCAGTGATAGTCAGTCAGTTCAAATTGGCCCGACCGCAACGGAGGGAGACGCAGTTGACTATCTGGTAACTCCAATCGAAAGCCTTCCACCAAGTTAGGAATGCCATGCAGGTTACGGACTGCTACAAACCTACCATGCCCGATCGATAATTCGCATTTAACACACTTACTTGTGACTAGTTGTGTAGGGTGATCGATATTGATTGAACTGACTATCCTTCGGACTTCACCCTTTACGCACAATCCTCGGTTTATCCAGTCAACTCGAATCTAGTGCTTCCGAGTGCATGGTTGACTGGATTAACTGAGGATTGCACGTGAAGATGAAATTTGAAGGATTGTTGGTACAAGTCAATATAAATTATGCCACACCAATACTCATAGCTACTTGTCACAATTAACTGACTATTGTTGTGCGAACATGATAAAGTTTAATTGATTTTTATGTTATTGCCAGGACTCGAACCTTCGGGTCGGTACTTCCAATCCTTATCTCTGAGCTACACGGACGACGGTCATCGCCTTAAGCGAATGACTCAATCAATTTGGACAGGGAATGTTTGGATTAGCCCATTCGGTATTTTTCCACAGGAAACAGTTAAATTTATTTAACTGGTGGAGAATTAACGATCTCTCAAGGAGTGAAACCCACATTCAAAATCATCAGCAATGCCTGGTGCCTGTGAAAAACCACCGAATGGGCTAATCTCAACATTCCCCATCTAAATTTATTTGATTTCTATGCCGAACCTCACTTCAGACAGAATAGGGAGTTACTAGTGTAGACGAGTATGGCTTTACTAATTCTGAACAGCAACTTTTAAAACACGACAAATTTTATCCCGACAATCAAGGTCGAGTGACGTTATAAGTTGATACACAATTACGAACATTTTAGTGGATGATAAAATTCCAAACGAATGATCCTCATGCATGGCTTTCGATGTGCAAGTAGGATTGTGAAAACTGAGATATTTGTCTCAATATTCAGAGTCACCTCTCAAGAGGTTGATCCATACCTGAATACAAAATGTTTTTCACATGGCGTTTGTGGGATACAGCTATTTCCAAGAAAATTTCCCATAGAATTCAGCTCTAGACTTCCCATGACACTCTAAAGTGTTTTCGACAATTAGCAGATGTGGTTGAGGCCATCCCTAAAACCCACTGGACATTAAGAACCCCTCATATTCGTCAGTCAGCCCGTGAATATTCAATATGCGTCATTGCGGACCGCATAACAATAAACACGAAGTTCATCGTGAGAGCCTCACATACTCGATTCTACGATATCCGCGACCACAGTTGATGTGCTTTGACCTGAACACATCACAAGTCTCATTTACGGTCTCCGACAGAGTTACAAAGTTACCTCACAATCGACGATGAACACCGAGTTGACAGGATATTCTATGAAAACAAATGCCGAACACCGACAAAGTTCAGTAAACAAATAATGACCTCCAGTCGATCTATGGCGATGTACATAACAAGGATCATTGCGTCTCGCTGTCGGTAAGCGAGTTGGGTGGGTGATTGGGATGAGCTCGAGCGTCGATTTCACATACACTTATGTGGATCACTTTATTTTTACACCAAATATTTGAGGTATCAACGGACAAGAACGCTTGATGCAAACCAATAAAAAAGCGTGAAGCTCATCCTAACCCATAATGGTAGTGATTAGAAGGTTTCGAAATTTCATCAAACTCGCTTAATCAGTCATAAAATCTATATCTAAATGAAAAAAATTGTCACCTTGCTGTGAATGGCTTTATTCGCTCTTCGTTACGGTACATGTTTCACACGGAGGTTGAGAAAACCTATTTACTTGAGGGGAAACTAACAGAGGCTCAATAAATATGAACCCACTGTTCCCTCTAATTTATGCCCCCAAACTCAGTAGATGTTCTAATTAATTAGAATAGGTATTTCTTGATACGATATGCTGCGCGGACAAGCGAAATCCAAACCGTTAAGCAACTTTGCATGAGAGCTGGATTATAGCTAGAGGTAATGTTGGGGAGGAGATCACATCTCGAATAGCGAAAGCTAGAGCAGCTTTCGCCAATCTTCGACACCTGTGGCACGGCCACCACATTCGACTGTCTCTTACAGGAAGGGTTTACACCGCCGCGGTATGTAGTGATCTACTCCACGGTTATGAGACCTGGTCCCTCCACATTGAGGATACCAATTGATTTTCTGTGTTCGACCACCGATGTCCCCGATGCATTGCTCGTGTCTCATGGGAACATCGTATGAGCACTGAAGAGGTTCATCGTCGCGTGTTGGGTGTGGATAGTATCTCTAAAAGGAGTAATCGCTCTACATCATCTCCGATGGATTGATCACATTTAACGTATAACTACCCATCGTCTACCTTTCCGTGCTCTCTTTGCACATACTGGAAGAAAAGTCACGGCGGTCAGACCACGACATGGCGTAAAAGTACGAAGAAGCTAGTTTCGACTTTTGTTGATGCAGCTGATCTTTCAGGTTGGGGTTCAAGGGAGATGCTAAGAGATATATCTCAGAATAGAAGTCAGTGGAGTTTATGCCCTGCCTGTTGAAATCTCATGTCCCGTAAAAAAGATAATAAACTAACTCCAAAAATATCTGTATCCCAATCTACCCATCCTCCATTATTATTGTCGTTGTGGCGTTGGTACCATGCTTGCCCGAAAGCCAAATGATAAATATACATTATATATTGCACGTGGTCACCAACTTAAGGTAGTGCGCATCCGTTAAACCATCCGATTTCGTCTTGTTTGTTGCTAAAAAATACTCAGATAATATCTATAGCTGACCGGAATCCCGAAAACATCTGAAGCTATGGTGCTCGTGCAAGGAGCGCGCACGCATCAAGATAACAGCTTCCAGGTAGCCAATCAGGTGTAATTCTCTACCAGTCCCACGGTTTCAATTGGAATCACTCAGATTGTCTGCATGCAAGAAAGTCACCTAATGATCCATATTCTAGTCAAATGGACATCAATGAATCGATCAATGGATGTTTCACCATTGTGATATTTATTTGCATGATTTTCCGATTATAATTAACTGTATCCACAACTCGTCTCGCTTCTAACTGTCTGAATCCGAGTTTGTGCTTCTCGATTCTGATTCCTATTCCGAATACTTCAGAAGCCACTGCCATAACCGCTTCAGTATGAATCATATAACCTATGTAAGGTATTACAAAAAGGATGGAAAGAAATATCAGAGATTGAAAAGTGGATATCTCTTGGACACTTTCAATAGTTATCAGCATAGACCATACCTTTTTCAGTTTAAGATGTCCGAAATCCAATTTAAGATTTCACAATATGAATTTAAGATGTCATGTTGCTATGTTTTCACTCTGCACTGTGCAAGGTACTGTCCACATAGCAACATGACATCTTAAATTGATACTCGCACACAGTCGTGAATGCGGCAAGCAGAAGACTCAGCCTTCACTTCAGCTAAAGCTTGTCTAATTGTTGTGTGTGTGTCTACATCTACCGGCTGATCCCGTATTCAAGCTCCGTAGCTCTCCTATGAAATGCTAGTGTGTTGCTAATCTGCAGTCCCAGTGAAGTTGAATCATTCATCTATAAGTCAGTTCAGATATCACCTTTAGTGACAGTAATTAGGGGCTGGATGGACTGGGAAAGTTACATGAAGTCTATGGGAGATAAACGTTATTCAAAATCAGTAATTGATTTCACTTCTATTTTATCATTCATCTGCATTAGGTCGGTCAATCTGAGTAAACAACTAATCGAATACCGGTACCTTCCACCATCTGTGTCCGTTCTTATAGTTCATTCTGACCGTGCGCTCTGCAGAGACATGGCTCGCCACGTGCCGATCAACCGTACTTCCCAAACATTCGAATGGAATTCGTCAAACACTGCTGAACACACTGGGGGATCGAATTGGTTTGGGGAAATTGGAAAAGCTGTATCAGCTGATTTTACGTCGAAATTTGGGTCAGACCACGGACTTCAATGATGACAATCAGCTGTTACAAGCCTACGTGCGATGGAACGAGAATATCGAACAACTGATACCGAAACATCGACTATTGGTATTTCATGTGAAACAGGGTTGGAAACCGTTGTGTCAATTTCTTCAAGTTCCCGTGCCAATCGCATCACCGTTCCCAGAATTCCGTCAACAGAAATGGTTACTAAAATGGAACAAAACGCTCACGTCCAACATGAAACATTTGATCGTGTGTTGTACCGCCTATGCCTTGTTCGGTATCGTCGCTCTGAGCTGGATTCGATGAAAATAAGAAGGGGAAATGCCAGATGTAACACACCACTGCCCATTGCTTCTTTTTTGGGCTGGGGCGGGAGAGAGAGAGAGAGAGGTTATCCAAATATTCCGAACCAATGCGTGCATGAAGTGGATGAATGGCAGATTTTTCCACTGTTTTCTGAATAACTTCAGCAACAAAATACTTTTGTTCCATACAGATCATCCCGGTTGATGATTAAATTTGTTTTCTGTATATTCCAAACAGCCCACAACATTGCTGATGATGATATTTCCGACCGTTTTACTCAATTCGAGGGAAAACGTGGCCCAACCGAGGACGGAATACAGTGATGATCAACACAACAACACTCCACCCCCCCCCACCCCCCACGCACCCGCATACACACAGCTGTGGATGGAATCGATGGTCATCTGAATGTCGGATGTTTGAAAAATTATTACGATTACTTTACCCGCAAAAGTATTTGTTATGAATTTACGCAAGTACTGAGATGCCGGTTTCGCACGCCACAAAACGCATTGCACTGGACAAGTAAATGAACCGACGTCGTAATTAACATTGTGCAGCCCCAGACGAAAATATTTTACAATTAAAGAATTCATACAGTATACAGAAGATATTCATGCAAATCAATTAGATATCGTAGC